GAAATTGTCTCATCTCATTTGTAGCTATGCCACCGGCGCCTACTTATCCGCAACAATTGATGACGCAAATGTGTAATGACTGGCAAGCACCAATGTACAATGTTTCCGCAAACGGCCATATTCCGCCATTTATATCTGGAGTGGCATATGCCCATCCTGGATACAGTCTTGGCGCCGAGATTCAAGAGATGAATTACAGTAGGGAAAATGGACGCCGCAACAGCCGAGGCAGAGGTATAAGGAGAGATAATTATAATCGAATACTTAATCCCACTAATGAAGTCCAGTCGGGATACATCGGCGATCAGACGCAATATCAGATACCGATCATGTACATCTATCCTGATCATTCCGTCTCTACACAACAACATCAAGTAGCTACCGGACAGGTCTATTTCACACAACCAATGTATTCAACGATTCCTCATCCGCATCCAAATGCGCAATCAGTTTCATCCAATTCGCATGCACATCCGACTTATCCTCAACCGAATCATCAAGCGCCGCAGATAAACAGATCCGTGCGACAATCTGTACCATCCCAACAACCAAACCAAGAACCCGCGAAAGAACCTATCGTTCCATTTCAAAAATATGTGCAAAGCACTCCTGATAAATCAACTCATCAAGTAAATGAAAATAACTCCTTGCCAAGCAACGTCGCTAATACCGTTATTGTAAATAATCCTACATTAGAGTCCCCTGTGAAAAACGTAAATGAAAACACTGCCGATAGAAAAAATGTGACTAGTAATGAAAAGGTCGATGCAAAGCTCCAAAACAATATTGTATGGACTGTAAATGAGAATTGTAATGGCACAGAAAAAGTTGATGTGCCACCTGTAATAAATACTAACATTGACATCAAGGTAAACCAAAATAATGAGGCAGACAAGAAGTTTAAAAATGAAACTGTACCCAATATCACAACAAATGCCGTCAAAACTTCGCCTAAACCTGTCTCTATCAAGATAGAAAAAAATGAAACGCAGATTGAGGAAAATATTGCATCAAAAGATTCTCAAGATAAGACTATTATTAAATCGCCAAACAACTCCTCTGTTATGCCAAATGACTTTATAACTACACCAAATACTTCATCATCATCTATATCTGAAACACCACCTGCAGCTCCAACCATTAGATCCTTTGCTAGTCTTTTTAAGAAAGACAGTACATCAGAAACACATACTTCATGCAAACCCACAGAACATATAATTTGTCAAAATGAATCACCAAAAACCCCGGTCCAAAAAGAATCGACTAGTCCTATTCGTACTCCAGAGAATCAAAATAATTCATCTAGCACACCAACTCTGCAAAATGGCATACTACAGAATTGTTATGACGATCCTAATACGTACAGGATAGGTGGTAAGTACAAAAAGCAATCCAATCTTTTAAAATGATAAATCGTTGATCTAAATATGTATATACATTGATACAAATTTCTTAAATTAATATTATTTGTTTCTAGAATTTTTGTCGAGTTATCAAATGGACAAGCAAACAGTGAGCTTATTACCGAGGGGATTAACAAATCGCAGCAATTACTGTTATATCAATAGTATCTTACAAGCTTTACTGGCTTGTCCACCATTCTATAATCTTCTCACAGCTTTGCCACTTCCTAAAAACCGAAGCAGAAATTCTGCTACGCCCTTGATTGATAACATGTAAGTAATTATAGTAATATTAAAAAAATACTTAATATTATATTTCTCTATAGATTTTATAAAAATTATGTTCATATTTAAAATTATTTTATTTTGTTAAAAGGGTCAAGTTTGTTCGTGAGTTTACACCCTTGACAGAGGCCGCTCGTATGCCCAGGAAAGATCGAGTTAAACGAGGAGAAGATACTGTTATGGACATATATAGCGGCATTGCATTTGAACCAGCATATGTATATACAATGTTAAAACATACCTCGGCTGCTTGTGCTTTTTCTGTGGAAGGACGACAGGAAGATGCGGAAGAATTCTTATCATGTCTTCTAAATGGAATCAATGACGAAATGTTGGATGTATGTATATACACATTTTATTTATTATAAAAATATAAATCAATATTTATTTCTTAAAAAATTTAGATAACTACTAAAAAAAAATTAGCAAATTATTTTGTTACAGTTAATAAAATTGATCAACAATGATCAAAACGCAATCGGTAACGCGAAAAATATTAGCAACGATCACGATGAGGAAGAGTGGCAGGTAAGTTATTTGAACAATATATTTAAAAAGTTATTGATATTTATAAAAATTTATTGTATAAATATCTCAAATTTATTTACTACAATATCTATCAAAATTTAGAAAAAAACAATATTCGTTCCATTCTATTTTTTAATTAGAATTACATTCATTTATATTTTTTTATGTTACATTATTTGTTCCTATTTTAATATAGGTAATGGGACCAAAAAATAAAGGTGCTGTCACACGGTGTACAGAATTCGGAAGAACACCAATATCTGATATTTTCCGCGGACAATTACGATCCAGAGTGTCGAGAGCAGGAGAACAACCAACGGATAATGTACAACCATTTTTCACACTGCAATTGGATGTTCAAGTTAGTACTAAGACTTTTAAATGAATTAAATTGTAATACGAAATTTTTTATAACTATAATGTATTACAGAAAGCCGAATCCGTAAAACACGCTCTTGAGATTCTCGTCGGTAAAGATCAGGTAGAAGGACTGACCTGTAGTAAGACGAGACAACAAATAGAGGCTTGGAAACAAGTCACTTTAGAGGAATTACCCGTCATCCTCATATTACATCTAAAATGGTTCGTGTACAAGTTCGATAAGTATTCCAATGGCTGCTCCAAAATATTGAAGACCATGGAATTCCCCATTGACTTAAAAATTGATGGCAGTAAGTATACTGAATAGTTTCAATCCATCTTGCCCTACTCTAATTTCTATGAGGCAAGCATAACGTGAAAATTACTTTTGTAGAATTTTTATCACCGAACACTGCGAAAAAATTAGGACCCAAACAAAAACAATACAAATTATTCGCGGTGACATATCACGACGGGAAGGAAGCCACCAAGGGACATTACTTCACCGACGCCTTCCACGTAGGATATGGATGCTGGGTTAGGTATGACGACAGCACGGTGAAGAGTGTTACAGAGAGTAACGTACTGAGGCCCACATCACCTAGGGTACCTTATTTACTCTATTATCGAAGATGTGACACGATTGGAAATAACCAATCAAGTAGTGCGAAAGCACATTGAAAAATTTTGTATAGAAAACATATATGTATAGAAAAAAAACTATGTTCCATTTGAGATGGAACGAAAAAAAAAAAATTCTTTTTACAATTTCAAAGTTCTTGTTGATATTTATAAGTAAATAGAAATCTATATAAATAAAGAGAGCTTTTATATTATCTACAATAGCGTGGAAAGTAGAAATATATTATACCCGCTGTACTTCCATGAAATACTTCTATTAAGATTGTTATTACACGTTGTATACATAGTTCCCGCTCCTCAAAAATCATGAAATAAACGTAGATAATGTTAAGGCTCGTCAAGTGTTCCAATCTGGGTTCACGTTTTCTAGTGAATCTAAAAAACGTTATATATTAAATGCTTTATACGTTGCAGTTTGTGAGATATTAGAGCGTCTTGTGTGTGTATATAATTTTTCTTTCTGAGTATGATTACTGTAAATGTTACTGGTTTTCCAATTTCTTTAAGAAGACAAACAAAAGTGTGAAAAAGATTTTGAAGTTTGTGACACTGTGTGTATAAAGTATAGAAATAGAAATATTACATGTAGTTTATTTTTTTATATAATCCTCCTGTACAGTAGAAATCAATTCCAACTTTTGCCAGTCGTTCTTAAATATATATGTTTTACATATATATGTATATATATTTAATATAAATATATATGCATATATATATACATGTTTAATATAAATATATTATACACACACATATATATATATACATTATTGTATACATTATTTCCGAATTATGTAGAACAAATCATACACACGCATTCTATTTGACAAAATTTTTACATGGATTTCTTTTTCATAAAATGTTTAAATCATTTTAATAATTGAGAAGACTGGCAAGATCAAGAATTGTAAAAAACTTATCAGGAAGATTGTACATTCAATTATTAAGCATTTTGTATTTAATCTTTCCTGGATATGCAATACCGTTTCATAATAATTCTTAAAATTCAAGTGTTCAATCAGATTTGTTTATTAATTGCGTTTAAATTGTATCGTATTTTGTTATCTCATAGTCTCTGATTAACTGTATAACATGCCCTGTACGCAAATAAAATGCCACTTATTTGCGACATAAGTTTTATTATTAAATAACTTCGAAAAATTAGAATTATACAAGTTTTAGTTTTATATATATACACATACACATATTATATATATATACACATTCATTATATCTAGCGTGTATGTTTGTATAATATAGATAAGAAGTAAGATATATATTCTAAGTTTTGAATCTAATTATAACTTACGCATTAAACTTAACTCATTTATTTCCGGTTTTGTAAATAAATATTTGAAGTTTATAACAAAAAGTAAAACTGTACATATGTTAAAATTTAATTATGATCAAGAAATATATATACATATATACAATATACATATATATATATTTCAAATATGTGTTGAGTTTTATTCCAGTTTTCCCTCGAGTATTTGTTTGAAAACTATTATGATTTTACTAACATGTTATTGTTATACATCGCTAGAAAAGATTCGAAAATGTCAAATTTCAACGCATTGCTTCTAAACTATTCACATATCCTCAAGGATATTAATATATATTATAATAATTTAAATATAATAATTCTTTTGTCTGTACAGCTATCTTATTATACAAAAGACTTATTAAATATTAAAAACTAATTGCTATAATTAATCCTTACAATATTTTAATCTACTTAATATATAGTAGAATGTAATACAACCTCCATTAAAGCTTTATAAAATTGTTATTGTAAGATGAAAAAGATTCTATGTATCATTAATATAAACGATACTGAATAATATTAGTGTAAATGTCAGTAGAAGATAATTAACAAATATTTCTACTATGGAACAATGCTAAAAATGTGGTAGACAAACTTTGCCTGCAAAAAGTTCAGAGATTACTGTGATCCATAGAGCAAGAACGAACAAGATGTAAGCAATCCCAACTTGATGCGAATTAGGCAACTGATATGGTTGCCCACCAATTTCATTAATGTGAAATCCCATTGGAAATATAACTGCTGCATTACAAAACAGTATCACTGCAATTTAATGTCATTTAGTACACAACACAATATATCGTAACCATGCGTAAATTTTGCACTAATAATTTGTCATCCGAGTTTCTCAAATATAACATTGACTATATTATAGAGTGATGCTTTGATAATTTAATTATTTCATGACTTTGTATAAATACTATAATTACTCCGTATATGTATTACTTGTACATTTTATTATGCTGAATATCATATTTTTCTGATACGTACTGGCACCGAATCCTACCCAACGTGCAAAGGGAATGACAGTACGGTCCCAATGCGAAAGTATCAATAATATTACGGTTGCTGTGATCAGAATGCAACCAATAAATATGCAGACCAGTGCCATCATCCATTCCGATTCCAATTGCGATTTAAAACAGACCTGCGGTCTGTTGTATAAAGTCATACACGACCACATGAGACCTAATCTTGTATCGCCTATTAGAGAGGAGGGAAAAGAAAAACACAGAATTAAAATTGTCGTGTAGTTTTTTCGCAATTCGCTACTTCGAATTGATTCAGAGTAACTTTAATCTTCATCTGATCGGCGTAAATAAATGACGTGCAAGGCCACGGCGAGTGAAGGCAATGAGAAAAAAAGATTGCTTTTCTGCAATTACCGCCGACGTCAGTAATGATCCAGTCCGGCATGGAGATGCTGATTATGGCGGAGATATCCGCGAGAAAGAAGAGTAACACCGAGATGATAGTTAACTTGTCCATTTTTCGCTCAGAATACTCGACAATCAAAAGAGTGAGATGACAGAGCTGAGTTGGCACGTTGTTCGGAGCATAAGCTAATTTCCACCATATTTACGCGTCGTTTACTGTCAATTCGTCCATGCGACACGACTATCCCCCGGTGATCCCGGAATCCGTCATCCGCGGATGCACAAGTGCCATTTCTTTATTGACAGTTACTGACAATCAAACAGGAGTAAACAAGTCAACAGAGAGCGGAGATGCAGTGCGGGATGACGTTGCGACCATGAGATGACGTTCGATCGATTAATCAAATGAAGTCGAGAATTCGATTCCTCGTCTCGTCTGAAGATCGACTATTTTCGAATTTACTTCCATCAGAAAGAAATCTGAAAATAATCATATTAACGATATGTTAACGATATATTAATAATAATCATAAATAATCATATTAACAAAATTGACTAAATATTAATATGAACAATTAATAATAATAATAATAATAATTCCATTAATATAGGAATAAATTTCGCGTTTATTTTCTATTCGCGTTTATTCGAAATTAAAATCGAAATCTTGTATTAGCAGTAATACAAGATTTTTTTAATTTAAATTTGTTTTTTTAGTCGAATATTTATACTTTTAATTTCGAATAAACGCGAAATTTATTCCTATATTAATGAAATTATTATTATTATTATTAATTGTTCATATTAATATTTAGTCAATTTCATTAATATGATGTCCTCTTCGCGACGCGATAGTGTTTCGCGTATGTATTATTATACGAAATTGTAAAATCTTACGCTTATTGTCGGCGATGTTAATCAGTAGTAAAAAGGAGTATTTGTCCTTGTGACATCGATTTCTGGCATATGAAGCCAGAATATTGGCCAGGAGCAACGAAAGATGAGTTCAATTTGGGCAGAAGAAAGAAGAGATCTATAGCAAGTTGGTGTGTAACACTAATTTAAGTTTTTATAAGGTATATGTATAAAGATAAACTGTAAATTTATATTCAGGAGGGTAACTTGCTCGCAAATTGCGAGTTCTTATATTTTTGAATTATTTATTTAAAATATAAAAAATAATCAAACAACAGGGCTAATGAGAGGCAATACGGATAATAAGCGCAAGTTTTTTAGATTTTTTCTTAGATTCTTTTTTTAGATTTTTTTCAGATTTCGCTCTGCTTCCATATAGGTCTATTCTTTTAGCTGGTTTGAACTTGATACATCTTTTCTCTTTTTTTTCTCTAACAAGAAAAAAACAGGAAAAATGAATCATCAAAAATTCAGCTAAAAATAATAGGTCTAGTCTTTTTTGTGGTGTTCATTTCATTTACAAGATATATGATTTTATTTTATGTTGCGTATTTTACTTATATAAAATTTTATATTGTGTTTTATTTGCACAATATAATATTTCATTGAACATATTCTATAATTAATAAATGAAGAATACAGTAAAAGAACTAAATAAAGACGAACATTTGTACATTGAAACATGTAGCTTAAAATTACAAAAAAAAAATAGTCGAGAAACCAATTACGTAATTGCCAAATATCTAGCGCGGAATTATTAACAAAAGTTTCGAAGCATGATGACTAATAAATGCAACATTTGTAGGAAAGGAAAGGTACTCTGTATTTGTGATCAATAAACATCAACAAGGATGATCAATTAACAAATTATTTTGGAAGCTTTCAAGATATATGTAATCGATTATAAAAAATTCGTGCTATTTACAAATTAGATATAATACAGAAAAATTCCACATGGAAACAAGTGAGTACAGACGCAAATACCTAATAAGGGAGACACTATCACAGTTAAAACGTGCTAGAGTATACAGAATAATTCCGGCGTTTGAACTTTTTGCAGTTCGGCTCGGTTTGGACACAACCAGTTTGTTCGTTACCTGCAATACATGGTAACAATCTAATCAATTCAAAACTTCTCGTTAAGAATTCTCTATATTCTACACATCATTTTATTAACAAAGTTACAAGTTATTTTGTAATAACGTTACTTACTGTCGTCCATCGAAGCGGAATCTACAATTTCTGTGGTGGTTTCTGTGTTTGAGCTATTTATTGTTCCATCCAAGGTACTTTTACTCGTATCTCCGTTATCCGAATCATCGCCATCGCTCTTAGAGGAAAAGTTCGTCGGTGAGTTATCGACGAAATACTTGTTTGTTGAATTCTCCTCGAAGGTGGAACTGAACACGCTTTCCTCGTCGAATGAAATATCCATGGATTCTGGCGTGTATTCGCTGGATGCCTCCATCGACAATTCGCTCGATCTATTGTTATCCATCGTAGTGTTTGTGATAATCTGTAATAGAGCAGAAGGATCATCGATTCCCAGCATCTCGCAGAATCGGGTAGTCTGATCATTTATCAGCAATCGTGGCCATTCGATCTGAGTATTCATGTCGCACGGATCGTATGGTTTAACGGTTCGAGTGAAGTTGAGAGGGATTCGCAAATTGGAGCCAAATTTCTCATATACGGTCTGCTTCTCCTTTGCCGTGGGTGTGTACGTCCATCTGCCGCTGCCGTACTGACCGGGCATATAATGGATACTGCTCTTAACGCTCAGCAGATGATTTGTCAGATAAAGTATCGTTAACCATTCTAGATCGTAGTTCAATTGTATTGGACTGTCTTCCTGCGAGCGCACCTCCAACACTTGTAGGAATTTCCGTTTCGGCAGACATTTGTCCAGCGCTAAAAACTTTGTCACTCGTGCTCCTCTCTTCTCGGGAACAAGTGCTGCGAATTTGCAATGCAAATGCGCGGAAAACCAGTAGGATGGATAAAGACGTTCTAGCAGTTCCATACACGGAGGACTGCCAAGCGTATTGCTTTCTATGTCATCCCTAAAATGGCAAATTGTAATATTGAATTTTAACTGTTGAAATCTATCTATCAAATTTCAATAGAATTTTGCATTAACATTTAGTCTTGTCATTAAGAACTTACTTAAAAAATGGTTTGCGTTTCAGCAATATATCTTCATCTCCATATTTTGTTACTCCTGCCGGCCAATCATGTGATAAAAAAATATCAATTTTGCCAGATAGCTAAAAACAAAAAATCTATATGTATTTTTCCAACTATTTAAGAACATTCACGATTTTATCTAAAATTGTATGAGTAGCTGGAGAAGTATAGAAATATATAATTTCATTAATGAACATGTATGATAGCTAATACCTGTTTTAATCTAAACACTTCTAAATTCCTGATATGATAGACACTTCTTATGGTACTATCAGTATAGGGAGGCTTCTCATAACGTCCCTGCATCCAATGTCGACTCTTGTATATACCCGAAAGTCCTGCAATTCTAATCCCACCTACTTGTATCACACCTGCGTATCCAAGATAATAAATATTAGGTGCAACCCATCCTCCATATGGCAATTCCTGTAGATAATTTGATGCTTCATGATTGCCTCCGATAAAGATGGTTAATATAGGAGCTTCCTTTTCACCAGAATAATATCTACAATATAATATCAACATTAAAAATATAGTTTTTTTGTTAAATATCATTAAACATACAAATAGCTTATCTGAATATACCAAGTAAAAAATTTGAATATAACCAAGTAAAAAAATCTGTTAAAAATAAATTTTGCAAAGTATCTGCTACAAACTTTATTAGCAAAGTGCCAGCAAAAAAGATAGATTACAATAGCAATAATAGCTTATAATAGAATAATAGATTATAATAGTAGAATAACTAAAGAAACTAAACATAATCTGTCATTTTGTTATCATTTAAACATTTTAAGCGTTTGGTATGTTCTGCTTAATATAAAATTAATTCTATTTTCTACTGATATATATAATCTGCTTACTTTGGCATTCTGCTGACAAAATTATAAATGACAAATTTGAGGTATTATTATTATTATTATTATTATTATTGCTTAAAAAGCAAATAGTGTGACAAATTTTTCAAGTCTATTATCTATTGAGCTTGTTTGGCTATATCTATAAGATAGAGATTCGAAAACCTGTCTGTCCTATAGTCAATTAACATATATGAAAATGTCATAGAACAAATGTAATATAATTTTAACTTAATGCAGATACAATTGATGTCACTCTACTGCAATATGTTGCTCTACTGGCAGATTACTGCCAACTATTTGCTTTTTAAGTAATGCTATGAACAGCATAAGAACTACGTTTAGCTTAAACAATACTCACTTATAAAATGTACACATATCCTTGTACTTCTCCGATACTGCCATACATTTTAGATCACTTAAATTTCTGGTAGCTTGAAAATCACCGCAGCAAATAAGCAGATCTATCTTCCTTCCATCGATTTTTTCAATTTCCTGTATAGTCTCGTAAATAATGTCCAATTCGCCATGAGCGCAACCTTCCACAGCGATCCTCATTTTCGAAACTCAATCGTAAAATCAAGATCTACACAATCTTGCGACTAATGTCATATACGTTTTTCTCGAACGTACAGCTGTGAATACGATGACCAGAATCACCTGTAACGCCTGTAAACAACCTCATTACACATACATCGGCACATAACACTTTGAACTTAACCTCACACAAGAAAATACAACCACAGACTACTCCACGACGATTATAACATAGATTGGAATCAGTACCTATCTCGCGATACCGTTGATATTTCCAAAAGAGTAGGAATAGATGATTGGTTGCAGAAAATTTTTTTTATGCATTTTGGAGAATGCACCGTTAGAGTGAAATCACATGGTGCGGAAAAAGATTGCGGAATAAAAAACGCTGATTGGTTGTTTCAATGACGCATTCTCTATTCTGCAGTCTTTTTCCGCGCCGTGTGATTTCACCCTTAGGCGTCGTCTACATTGGCTGCGTTCAGCAGAGAAAACTAATCAGTTAGCGCTTAGTGATTCTTTAATACGATTGGTTCCTACTTAGATTTTGCGAAGAACTAAAGGCAAGAACCAATCATATTAAAGAATTACTAAGCGCTAACTGATTAATTTTCTTTGCTGAACGCAGCCAATATGCGAAGTAAACTTGGTTTAAGTAAGAGTAAGAAATTGACCAATCACAGTCGATTGTGAAAAGAATACTCGACTCTGATTGGTCAATTTCTTACTCTTATTTCTTAAACCAAGCTTACTACGTGTATTGTAGACGGGCCATTTCAAAATGTGTGAATTAAGGATTTGTAGACACAGACAGTTATATTACAAATTACATAAAAATACACTGTGGAATCTTATAATAGCACGCGGTTCGGAGCTCTATAATGTACATTGCATATACTATAGATTTTCACAAGAACGAATTTTATGCCACGTAGTATAAAAATATATTGATTTGACGTGTTTTGATGTTTAAAAAAGCGCCAGAGGTATTAAGAAAAATATATCGATGAAAAGTCACTTGATCGAAATCCTAATAATCAAAATTCATGATTCTCAATGAACACATTGCTTTTACAATCTTCTATTTTCGAGAAAAATAAAAGTCAAAAATAGAGCAGATAAAAGAGTAAAAGAAAAAAAAGAAAATGTTGGCTTAAAAAATAATTTAAAATGAAATAATGTGATAATCCAAATTTATATGTGAGACTATTATCTTCTTTTCTACATAAATTTTATTTTGAATATTTTGTTTAAATAATCAGAAATCAATACTTTAACCAGAAATTATTAGAGAATAAATCTTGTTTTTATTTTTTGTTCTATTTAAATATTACATTCACGTTTTGTATAAGTGTTTCAATGTACTTACACCTAAGACTACATACTTTTTTATAACTTTTGTGTTCATTGAAGTAATATTTTTTTCAATAATATGTATCTTGATGTATACAAAAATCTCAAATTTCTTTAATCTATTGTATTACTATTATTAATATAACTCACTGAAATTCCGATTGATCATGGAATGAATACAAGAAAAAGTCATTCTACATTCTTAATGACCAAATACTAAATAATTACTACAATATACGTGATAATAACTATTTAATTATAAGATGTAACGACTACTCAATTTGCAAAAATAAATTTTATGTTTTACGTTTACTGTTTAAAGTTTATAAGCAAGATATGTTACAAATATATAAATGTTAAAATATATTTTACATTTTGTGTAATGTCATATAACTTTATAATTAAGCTTATAGTTGTTTTTCTTTAAAGAATATTTAAGTCAAATCTATCACAATCACTTTACAAAAATTCTTCGCACCAATCAGTAAGACACTGATAACAATCTGTTGACTGTTTTGCATTCGCTGAACAAGCATCCTTCATCCATTCTTGAAACAGTTCTTTATTCTTCTTTAACACTAAGTACTGTCCCAGGACCACATATGCCTATATAATTTTTAATTATAATATAAATCACTACAAACTTTAACTAAATTTTTATTAGATTAATTAGTCCAACCAGCAGAAACATTTACAGCAAAAATAAAAATCATATAATTTATAATATAACAAAACCCTCCCCTACTTGATAAGATATGATTAAATTAGAATTTGTTTATGCTAAGAATGATTCAGATATTATTCAACTAAACCCTGGTAAAAATTTTTCTCAGAATTTTTCATATAATTTTTCAGAATTTCTATATAATTTTATATAACCTTCTCACATTTTTTACAAATTGGAACACTTCTCAGAAATTCTACATCTTTTCTCAAAATTTTTCATATATGTTACTTGCAGAATATCGTAAGATTTCTAAGATTTTTTTATAAGAATAATTTCCGATGAATGTCAAAAAATCTAAAAAATTAAAAAATATTTTTTAAAAATTATGGGATGAGAAATTTCAGAATATTTCCGAATTCATTCATATGAAAAATTCTGAGAGAAGATGTAAACTTTCCGAATATTTCTGAGTATTTCTGAAAAATGTTCCAATTCGTATAAAAATTATGAGAAAAATTTTCACCAGGGAAATTATACATATAAAGAAATATTTACCTTATCAAAGCCTGCAGCCTCTAATCTTTTTCCTAACACCTCTCCGACACCAGCTAGTTCGGTCACAGGTTTGTCTCCCATCGGCTCAGCCACGAAGTTCCTGTGCTTCTGTGATGTAGTAGACATTTTAACCTACAAAAGCAAAAACTTTTATTTTCTTTTCTAATACATCAGACAAAGCTCATTTATATAATTACGCAAAGTGTTTAATCTATGCAATAAGAAACTATACTCAAAAAATTCATTACTAATTTACTGCACTGTTTTAGCATTATAACCTTAATGTAATAAACGTAATAAAATCATTCAACTACAAGTACTGTTCGATAAGATATAAGTAATTTACGAAAGTATTTTGTATAAAACTCGGAAACAAACGGCAGATAAGCTTGAAAGATATAAACAGATATAAACAAAAAGATATAAAAAATGATAAACTTAACAAACCAATAAAGAAATATCAAAACAGATAAGGACGACTAAATACCTGCGATTGGTTCGTGAGATTTCTTCCCGATTATGAACTGTTATGAACTATGACCGTCGAAACGTGAAACAAGTTTTACGAATGCCAACAAATTCAAAATTTGAACATAAATGAAACGCAATCTTCCTGTTTCGTTTGGACTTCGGATGGCCTTGGTTGTCACAAATTCAATATAATAAAAAATCGCTTGATTCTATGTCCCATGGTCCCATTCATAAAGGAAGATATTAAGGAGACTCTACTCCGTAAAATAAAAGTGGACCGATTTTAGGTTTCGAGTTTAAGTTTCGATTCTCGACACTCGCAGCGCTCGCGAATTTAGTAGTTCTGCGCATAATGAGTGCGTCGTAGTTAGAAACGGTAGTTAAAAACGGTAGGAGGAAAGAAACCGTAGTCCGATTTCTGAAAAAATATGAAAAATCCGAATCTGAATGTTTAAAGACAAATAGGAGAATTGCAATGCCATTCTGTTGTGTAGTTCTTACGGCGCACTCAATGGCTACGTTTACACCGTGCATTTAGGCCGCGGCCTATACAATGGCTGCGTTCAGCAGACTCAACAGTTTTGCAACCGTTTTATGATTGTCTGCTGAGATAGGACCATTCTTCTAGATCTAAAAGTATGATCCAATTAGCGCGAAGGAAACTTCCAACAGTTGCAAAACAAACGTTCTGCTGAACGCAGCCATTGGTCGCGTTCAGCAGACTCAACTGTTGTGGAGTGGATCCGTGAGCGCTCGCTGCTATTGGTGTATTCTTTTAGATTATCCAATAGCAGCGAGAGCTCACTGATCCGCTCCGCAACAGTTGAGTTTGCTGAACGCGATCATTGATTGTCGCCAAAAAATATTTGGACAAAACGAGAAATCAGCCAATCAGGGCGCAATATTTAAAAAATGCCTTCCCAATCATCTGATTCTTTGCAATCTATGCGGGGTCTACAATAAAAGTCGTAGCAGTCGTAGGGTTTTAAGTCGTAGAAAATTGACCAATCACAGTCGAATATGAGAAGAATAATCAACTGTGATTGGTCAATTTTCTACGACTTAAGACCTTACGACCGCTACGACTTCTATTGTAGACCCCGCATAAAAGTTTTCAAATTAATTTAAATGGAATTAGGATAATAAATGACTAAAACATATTAAATGTTATTTTTAACAAATTTCAAACTTTAATAATTAAAGGCGACTTTAACTAAACTCCCATCAACTTGATCAACAATTAATTCAATCAGGAGCTTGCTTAAAACAAAATTTTTAACTATATAATTCGTAATTTCCAATCTAATTGTTTTTTCATGCATTAACAAAAATTTAATTCTATCTATGTAAATAAAATAGTATGTACAACCATTATTTGATAAGTTAATTGACGTTTGATCAAAGTTACCCTAAACACAAGTTAATTTATTTATAATAATTGATCTTAATATGGATAGAATAAACTTTTTGTAATTATTTAATGAAAAACAAGATTAAATTAGGGACAACGAATTATATATAGCTAGAGATCTTACAGCAAAACTGTCGGTTGAATCAGTCTCTAATTAAGTTAATTGCAGTCTGGTCAAAGTCACCCTAAGACCACATCTTTCTCCACAGTAATTGTAACGGAAGAATGCCATTTCTTCTCTGTAATGTCGGATGAAAAACGTCGAAGTCTACTTTTTTTAATTCTTCTAAATAATTCTCTACGCAAACTGTTGGTAGAAATATCACTTTAAGATTTTTCCCCGCCGTCTTTCTAAGTGATGTTGCCTAAAACAAAGAAAATAATGTCGTGCAAGTTGAAAACTTTCCCCTCTTCATCTAAATGCAAAATATGCAGTCGTATGCGCATAAAACTGCAAGTCGTAGACGCAGATTGATTGTCAATTGGTGTCAATTAAATCCCGAATATGTTACTAAGTTATCTATTGTACCAATTTCAGATGCTGCTTGGCGCAAGATGCAATTTCGAGTACAGCGTCTTTAAATCCAGCACTTGATTGTCCTTGAAAGATGGATTCGGAGGAGATGCTGTGTTTTAGCAGAACATCCTGTGGCAATATCATGACTCGTTTCCGGGCGTTATACGGCACGGAACGTATCAAGGTGACTAGACCATGCGCCTTACCGAAGTGGCTAGCTGCGTGATCGGCATTGACGCTCGCCGTACCCTGTGCCTCTAGCAGTAAATAATAAATCGATGATGTGGTATAGTCACAATATCTTTCGAGCGATTCCAAATCCATGAATATCGAGTTGCTTAGCTTGCTCAAGCGAGCGTCAATTAAGCGCTTGAAATAACGTTTAGATAGTTTGTGTTGCTGAAGGATCTGCAAGTGCGAAAGATCTCTGATTTCCAACAATAGTCATGCGAACGTATCTTGGAACAATGCGTTCTATTTATGTACCCTGTGTAACTCCAACGCCACAGGACTCTTCGGAGGATTACCATTATATATTCCATTCAGAGCATCTGTCCAAAACTGTAATCGCATAGCACCTATCCTACTGTTGCTCACTTGATCCTCCACTTGTGCCACCTCAGTATTAAACGCATGTACAGCAAACGCCGCCGATTTAATACTATGAGGAAGTAATAGAGTACATAGAAAGTTCTCATAATCGCTCTTCCTAGAAAAACAATGGATAAATACGACTTGAGTAGATTTTGTTGAAGCTTTTGCTAGTTTTGTTGTACACAAACTTGCACAATTACTTTGATATATTTTGCGAGAAATTTTATTTATTTAGTTTTATTCCAGAAAATATATAAATACAACTAAGCAAATCCATTCCTCGAGAATTAGAAATTTTGAAAAACCTAAATTTATTTAAATATGACAAGTCAACGCGATACTATATCTGGAATATATATACTAATAATATATTATACATTAGAATAATATAATATTGTTACATTTATTACATAAACATAAATTGCATAATTTTTGTTTACATTTGTGCAGCTTTAATTTAACAAAACAAAAACAAGTACCTAACCAGCTGCAAACAATACTCGGTCGGAGTTTGTTTTTGTTTTGCATTAGTCGTATTCATACGAATCATATATCGCAGCTGTGTTCGCACATTTTTCTCAATAATTGTTAATTTATTCATTTTTCTAAAAAAAAAATTTGTTTTATTGAATCCAACAATAAAAACGATCACACAATTATCCCAACGGAAACACTAACGACATTGAGTATTAAATTTGTCTATCGTGAAGTAATATTTTAATATCTTTTTTATTATTGTGTACAATTCGGAGTATACAATTTCGAACGAAAACATTCGCAATCAGAATAACCTATAAAGTAACGTATGGTGTGTTCAAAACAATCAAGCTCGCCAAAGTATTTTCTTGTAAATTCCTAGATCCCGATGTCATAAAATAAATTGAACTAGGATGTATCGAACGACTTTAAATGTTGGCGACCCTACCGAATCGACTTTAGTCAACGGCTGCGTTCAGCAGAGAAAGCAGCTTTGCAACTGTTGTAAAATTCTTCAATATGATTGGTTTATACATTTAGATCTGTCAGAAACCAAAAGCAAGAACCAATCGTATTGAAGAATTTTACAACAGTTGCAAAGCTGCTTTCTCTGCTGAACGCAGCCAACTTCACGCTTTACTCACGGAAGTAAATATGGCAAAGTTATTAGGGTTGGATAAACTCGCGACGTTATTCCGTACGATACGCGACCATGGTGGTATTATCGGTTCCGTCAAAACGATTTTCAGGTTATTAGGCAGTTACATGTTATATTAGTAATACAGCGAATGTTCAAAATACTACCACTTTGATTAGTATTGTGTAACTCCGCTCTGTATTTGACTCTGAGCTCTTGCAGCTTATTCAAATTTTAATGTATTATCTGCAAAAAAATATTTTGCAGTATAAATGCAATGTGTCAACATAATATTCTTACAATTAATGTAGTGAATATAAATTCATTTCAGGGTGGACGAGTTGAAGAGTGGTACCTTGGTCGGAGAAGACAAGTATGGCAATCGATACTATGAGAATAATATGCACTTTGTAGGTCAGTCATTAAGTACACTAATATGGTACAAATAATGTCAGATCAATATGAGTATAAATGTCTATGTACATATCACTTTTATTAAGATACTTTTCAACAAGATAGGGAAGGGATAACACTGACTACATTTAATTTGACTGTTCAAGCAATGTAAGATACATTTTATCTTTTGAAAGCCGATGTAACTTAGTAAATCATTATACCTGTTTTTGCTAATATTAAACAAAGATGAAATAATTCACTGTGTTATACTGTTGGTGCTTTCTAGTAAGAGATAATGATCATTTTATTTAACATTAGTAAATAACAAGGATGTAATGATTCATTGTGTTACACTGTCATTTGTCTCTTGCTGGAAAACATCCTTAATCTTATATTCTTGAGAGTATGACAGTGCAAAATACAGTAAATATCGTGTTTATTTAATATTCTTTATAGGTCGTAACAGATGGGTGATATACGCAGATAAAGTTGGAATGAATTATGATGGTTCACAAATCCCACCTGAATGGTTCGGTTGGATGCATTACAAGACAGATTTGCTACCAGACAAAGATCCGTCTCGACCAAAGTATAAATGGATGATGGATCATCAACAAAATATGAGTGGCACAAATCAAGCTTACATGCCTTATAGCACCACAAAACCAAAGATTGAACCTTGGCGGCCACCACAGTGATCTTTGTTGGACCAGCAGTGAGACATAAAGAGTAAAGTAGTTAGTTCATAACTATAGTTACATAAAATATTACTCAATGTAAATAAAATTACTATCAAGAGATAAAAAGATTGTAGATATTTAAAGATAGTTTTTATTCGTCCTTTTTTTCACTGGTTTGCGGTGATAATGCAGTAATAAAATAAGATAATTTAGTAATCAAGCAATAACATTTAATTTTCAATTATAGAACGTATAAGGAATAATGAAAGCATCTATTTTTATACATTCCTTTTAAATTTTTATCTGGATTTTATTGAACTAGACCAATATTGGACTATATCAATTTCATTTGTTTTGCTGGTTTCATTTCTTTTATACTATTCATGCATTGTTTCAAGTAGTTGATCCGTTTTTTTACATTGTCTTGTACACTGAAGTTTTCGTAAGAAATTTGTATGATTTCGTATCCTCTGGCTTTTAATAATTGCGTATATAAATACTGCGATCCTACGAGATCATTCTCTCCTATGCAATAATCGTGGTAACCATGCATCATTATTGCTATTCTGAAAGTTATACATAATTATTAATTTATATCTAAATATTAAATTTTTTGTCACTTGAAAATAAATAAAATGTCTTAAAATTTTAACTAAGTTATAGAATAATTTTTATTAAAACAATATTAAAGTATTGCCCTTTTTATTAATAACATGTGCCATACCTTCGTACGTTATTCGACTGTTCATTCCAATCTTCCACTTTCACTAACCTTTCACTGTTTATGCGATATTCAGCATCTAAAAATAGTCAAATTTTAGAGATTGCAATACATTTATTTACTCCAAATTTTACTTTGTTAAAAAGAATGAATTAATATTAGTATATAATTTCGCCGAGTGTATTTAGATATCAATAGACTAATGGTTTATTTATGAATAAATGAAATGTAGTATAACAATATTTTTCTTAACACATCTACAACTTTGAAATCAAATTCTACGAAATTATACTGGCATTAATTTTTGGTTTAAAAAACTTACCCAATAAAAAACCCATATTTGTATCAAAATTTGTTTTAAAATAAGACGAAGACTGTAATACTTCTGTTAATGTTTCCAACAACGCATTTATGTACATTTGTTTCTCCTTTGATCTAACTATAGATATATTATTAAATTCTGAATCTTTCTTTAAAAAAGGTCCTGTAATTTAAAGCAATATAAGTGTTGATGAATTGTTGAAAATATACTAAAATATGTATATATTCGAATATATACCGTCGTAATCCTTTAGTACAAACTGTGCAACAGCGTTGATATTTAATAATTTTAATATCTTTGATATATTTAGCTGGTTACAAGCTATAAGAATCATAAGAAATTAATATTATTGATACAATACAAAATAGATACAAAATAAATCTTAGATACATTATTTAAATAGATACAAACCACTTATTTTTTCCATTAATGCAGGATCCAATAGGAATTTTACGTGTCGCGATTCCATTACATCTAAAACTGCTAAGGACCAAGCAATATCCAGCCATTCAATCCAAGATATTTGAAATGGAGTTATATGTTCTGTAAATTTCTAATTACAAAAATAAAAAATTATATATTTTTATTAAAGAAAATAAAATTTTCTTACGTTCTCTCTCTCTCTCTCGAAGAGAAACTTAAAATATTTAAAATGGAAACATTATGACATTCTCTCAATATACCTCGAGAAACAAGTTCTGGGATTTGTACTGTAGAACCGCAAACGTTTGTAGTATTGATGAATAATCCAGAAATTTATAATCCATTGATTTCATAAATAATGTTTTACAGAACGCATCAAGTACATCCATATTTTTGTAACGCAGAAATCCTAGTGACGTTATTATGGATTTGTTTAAAGCAGTGTTCTTGTTTTTTGGTATACACTCCAGTAAGTCACATGCGATTTTTTCTAATAAGACCTATTGCATATGTCATATTTCACAAACCCGATAAATTCCTGTATTTTCATATATATATCCACATAAATGTGATATGCATACCTTGTCTGGAAAATTAAGTATAGCCATGCTGTACAACAAAGTCGCACATTGGTTCAAATCTAATGCTATATTGTATTTGACGATATTGTACGACAACATCTTTAATAGTGGAGTATTTCTGTCTCTTTGTTCTCTCAATGATGTTATTACCTTCATCATATAAAAATATGTGAATACATATAGATATATTCAATATACATCATACTGCAATTATTGCAGACGTAGATAACTGCAAATATTGCAGGCATAGATTCTCATGTAAAAATATATCGACATTTATACATGTTAAAATTATACAAATATACTCACAGAAATCATTGCAGGTGTGGATAATTGAGAGAATTTAGACAAATTTAATTTTTCATTCCCACCACTCTTATCACTCTGAACTATCTTCCTCAGATGGATAAATCGTTCATCAGTCTCAATGTCTAATGCCTGTGATTTTCCACTGTTTATCTGATTAGTTATGCTTGATATCAGCTTCAAAGCATTACTTGTAGACAGGTTTGGTAATACTGCCAAGTCCAACAAATCGTTTACAGACTTGGCAGCTTGAAATTGCTTGAAAAATATATTGCTGTCATTCAATCGTTTCTTCCTACTGTTTCTTTCTTCTGTCATATGAAATGTCGTCTGGGAACTCATATCCTTAGGTTGCTGCTCCTTTTCTTTCAGCACATCTTGCATTTTTGAAACATCAGCATTGTCTTCCTAAACAAAAAGCCACATACAGTCTTTCTTGTCAAAAAATTGTGAGTGAAACGTGAAGGTTGTTATCAGGTTGAGCTCATCAAAGAAAAGAAATTATTAGGTCGCTGTTAATTGTACTTTACATTCACAGGTGCAGCAGGTTGTTCGCCGGTGATCGCCGTACTGGAGTTGCAGGCCACAAGAGCGGTGAAACGCCAGGATGAGCGAGGTGCGATCCTAGCAGTCGCAGTATACAGCATCGCGCTGAACTGCAGCATTGTCATTAATCTGTAAAATGGTTATTTATGTAATTGTCGCGATCGGGGATATCCGCGATGACGGTTCAGGCTTGTCGATTCATGACACTCGCACAAAACGACGACGGCGCACTTACTCTGTACGACTTACGTTACAAGCGGATGCAAGAATAAGTAGCGTTATCGCGAAAATAAACAATTATCGTGAATGATCTCGGATGCACCAGGTATACATATTTAGGTTAGAGGATCGCCATGCACCCGGTCATAGATACAGAGAAGTTTAGAGGCGCGGTTACGAGTTAAAATCGCATCAGACGCACTATCGTCTTTTAGTGGAATCTCTCCTTTTAGATCCTTTTAGATCATTTAAAAAATTTAAAAGAGTATCAATTTTTAAATCGATGAATAATAATAAAATCATGTATGATTTTACAAAACAGTTCGAGAGCGTATATTAATATTTAAGGAAGATTAATTTACGGAAAAATTAATGAATATAAATTAAGGAGAATAAATAAGATTTAAAAAAAATATAACTTGATCAGATATTTTATAAATTTTTTTTTTCTTTATTATATCTCTTTGTGTAGATATCGTTTATCTGCAAGGAAGCTTAACAATTAAGAATTTTTATGAAATTTATTTCGGCTATAATATTTTTATATTTGTAAAATGAAACAAATTATTATATTATTTTTTACGCTATTTTATTTATCAGTATCTATTATTGTTCGATTAAATATATAATTATAATTATACATATAATTATTATTATTATTATATAATAACATATTGAAAAATTTCGTTAATATCGTTCACATCTTTAATATTAATTATTTTGACATTAAACTTACATTATGAGAACGTGATCTTCGCCATTAAACGAGGATTTCTGTCTTTGGATAATTTTAAAAATTGGATCTATTACAACGGATATGGTTTATTATCACCATCAGATAAAATCACATTAGAAAAGTTGATATGGATTTCTTCTTTTTTCCGACATACAATAATTATGTACAGTAGAATAGGCTTTTTTAAATTTATATGTTGAAGAAGACTTTGTGAGTCGAAACGTTTAGATATTTGGTATATTACCCTAATATTAAATAATAATTAATAAACAACTTTATACTCGTTTATTTGATCGTTTTGTATTAAACAATTAAATTGTTTTTGTTGTGCAAACATCGAGCGATATTTATATTCTTTGTTATTTAATAATAATAACATATTTTTTAAGACAAAATGAGAAAGAGAAAGATACATAAGAAAATATAGTCGATTATATTTTACGGTTGAACTTTTTGTAATTTTTATCTTCCTCTTTCTAGTATCTAATTATATTATATAATAAGAAACTGTAATAATCAAGAAGTAAATATATTTTATATTATTATTTGTTTATTATACATCGCGTCACTTTACTTTCATAGTTACTTTTGTAAATACTTTTTATATATCTAATAATATATATTTTATTGATATAATTATATATTTTTTAATTTTATTATAAGTACCAAATGTGTAATATGATGCAATTAAAAAAAATAGATTTAAGAAATGTCAGAGTTAGGGCTCGCTGTCAAATGATTGCACTGTGTTGAGTAGACACATTGCATAAGTATTATCAACTTGAAGTTATTTAGTATGTACAGTAGATTACACAGAACATTCCAGATTTCAAAGTCCAGAGTATTCCGGAATACTCTGCAGCAGTCTTTTTGAATAGCTCAGCAGGGTGGACGTGTTCTTGCCGTTCTTGCTTCGAACGCTTCGATCCGAGGGTTTCATTATCCTCAATTTTTCAAAGTTCCTGCCGTATTTAACTCGTGCATTTTTGTGAATTACGACTGGCTACGTTAATCTCGGTGCGGAAACCAAGGCCAACCAATCGAAAGGAGATAGCGCGCAACAGCAGGTGCCAGTTGTACAAGTTGCGGACGTGATTGCGGCAAGTGTATCAAAGAACGAGATAGCGCGAATCAGCTGATCAACTATGCATTCCGCGAAGACGCCGCGTATTCTCTCGATCCAGAGTCATGTAGTGTCAGGCTACGTTGGCAATAAGAGCGCTACTTTTCCGTTGCAGGTGAATCCTGTGGAGGATTTTTATGACTGTCCTTCAAATTCCATCAAATACCCATCGACGATCCTTCCCCTGCAATCCATGAATTGTCAGTTGTAAACCCGCGAATCTCACGACAATCCGATATCTCATTATTTTTCCTTGGATAGTCGTAAAAGCGTGGAATATTACAGATAAGATATGAATATTTTAGAGATAAATGCTTTCATCAGAGATTAAAAAATTCCAAATGCAATGACGATGACAGATGTTATACATTAGCATTTATATATTAATTTAGAAATTAATTTGTATCTTTTTGTGATTTTTTTCTGATTTAAATATAATTCTTGCTGATGTCAATTTGTTTCCGTTAATCCACTGTCTAGACTAGTTTTTAAATTTTTAGAATAAGTAACAATTGAACAAATAATGTTATACACACATGTATACTTATGAAACACGAATGAATTAAAACAATACTAATATATTAAGTATATAATTTATATAATAAATTTATAATTTATACATTAATAATATATTAAGTTTAAAATTTATGTATTGATATTAAGAGATCAATTTGTTTCTATTAGTTATTAGGCTTTGAGGTCGATGCAATAAACTCTGTACAGTTGTCCAATCATACTGGTTACAAAGCATTTAAAGGCCAAGTACTCAATGATAAAGATTTAGGTAAGAACTTCATGGGAAATAAATGACGCAAATGTGTTCATTTATCAATATGGATATGTCTACAGTATAATTCTAATATAATTACTACTTTAGAGGACTTAGTTGATGGTTTAGCGCAAAATGGCTTGGATAGTTATACACATTTGTTAACTGGATATATCGGTTCTGCCTCCTTCTTGAAAAGAGTGGCATTACTAGTCACAACTTTGAAAGCCAAAAATCCAAATCTTACATATGGTACATTATCTTTTAACAGTAATTTTTTATGTGACCAAATTTTTTTCATGATTTATACTTATTATACGTTTTCCATATTAGTTTGCGATCCTGTTATGGGTGACAATGGCAAGATGTATGTCCCAGAAGCACTGAAAGAAATTTACAAAGAGGAGATAATACCATTAGCGGATATAGTAACTCCAAACCAGTTTGAATTAGAGTATGTATGATATTTAACATACAAAGTGATATTATTAATTTATATACATTGATGATTGATCAATATTGCAATTGCATAAATTGCCAATAGCTTTTAGAAATTAATGTATATTCTCTTCACAATCACTTATGTATTACTTTTATTTTTTCAGATTACTTACAGATGAAAAAATCACTAATATGAGTGAATTGCAAAATGCTATTAAAAAATTACATCGTAATGGACCAAAAACTGTAGCTGTATCGTCAACTGATCTTAGTGAGAAACTGACGGCAGTAGTCAGCGCGGCGAAAGGTTGATCGTGCACTTCAAGATAAAACAAACTTTGAATTGATTATAGATTTGCATTATCTTTTTTTATTTCAGATAATACATTAATAAAGGTAGATATTCCTAAAATACCAGCAACTTTCACGGGTTCAGGAGATCTCTTTGCCGCGTTATTTCTTGCCCACGTATACTTACAAAGTGACATGAAAGTCACTATGGAAAAAGCTATTAATTCTCTGTACAACGTGCTGCTTAATACGTATGAATATTCTAAAGGTGAATAATATTTTTACAATACGAAAGAAATACCTCAATATTATTCCTAACAAACAATTATTTACAGCGTATACAGATACCGAAGCACAACCAGCCAGGAAAATCGAATTACGACTCATACAAAGTAAAAACAGTATTGAAAATCCAAAAATTCGTTTATTTGCGGAATTCTTATAACATTTAAAAAATTATAGAGAATAATTAAAAGAAATGCTTAAATGTTATATGTAGCATTTTTCAAATTTTTGAGGCCATACTACATATAGTTTATGGAAAGTTTTATCTCAATAATTGAACACGTGTTAAAGTGCATATTAATAATTAAGCATTTATTAAGATATATTTTAACATATGTATGCGTGTGCATACATATATATACATATTATATATATATTAAATACACATATATATATATAGATATATGTATAGAGTATAAGAGCGACCGATTCATAATTGGTGGAATTCGAGTTCGAGCTCAATTCATGTATGCTTCAGTTTGTAAAAAGTTAATTGAAAAGTTGAAGGTAGTGAATAAGTTTATTGTGGAGTCCATGTTGGAAATCCATTTATTAACTATTTATAATGTAACAAAACATTTGTTGAACATTTACATAACGCGCGGAGATATATTCTCCAATAATCAAACCCCAAAGACCAATGTACAACGTCTTCCAAAATATATACAACTAATTAATTTATGTATATAATCCGCAATAGGTTCTTATATGACAGATACAATTTTTATTTTAGAAAGATTTAAATAAATTTAAAATCATGAAAACTTTGTGTCCATGTGTGTATTCAACCAAATTCAAACTGTTATTGTATTTTATTGAAATCCTTTTAAAATTGTTGGAACGTGTTCTTTATTTATATTCTTGTTACATTTATATTTCTTTATAATATACAATCAATCACAATAGTCCTTTAAAGATAAACGAGGTACTACGTTCATGGACTGCAGTTCTTGGAATAACAATTTACAAGCATAAGGCATCGTTATCGTAGAAACGGAAGAGCTGGATTTACACCTTTGGCACCATCCGTTGTATCCTATCAGACCGCATTTATTACAAACGTCAACTTTAAAAGCATCGCTCGATATCATAAGCCTCTCTACTAATAACATGCTAGCTCCGTAACCGATCAGACAGTCTCGCTCCATTTCACCTAGTCGCAAACCACCTTCCCTAGAACGTCCTTCTGTCGGTTGACGTGTGAGGACTACTCTTGGACCTCTGGCACGAGCGTGCATCTTGTCTTGCACCATATGTTTCAATTTTTGGTAATAAACCTACGAATGATATTTTTAATGTTACACGAGAAATATCAAACATATTCATTCATTTATCTACATTAGAAATAAAAACATTTAAAATACATATACATATATATATATATATCTATTCTATCACTATTTTAATTAAGATGAATAGAATTCTTACAAAAATATATGTTTTCTAATAATGTATTTACTATTCATATAAAAAAATTAATTATATATTTACTTAATTTCCTACTTTTTAAA